CTAATCAATGTACAACAGAGCTGTTGCATGTATACATGTATGTATGTATGTGTTTTTTTTTTTTTTTGGCTGTAATGCTTTAAAAAAGTCATCCATGGGTGTCAGTGTCTTTATAAATTTTTTTTTACATGTAAAAGAATAATCATTTTATTAAAATAAAAAAAAACAGCAACCAAAAGAAACCCCTCATACAGGGTTTTGTTACATAGTCCAGGCTGACCTTGAGGTCAGTTTGTAGCCAGGCTGGCCTTGAACTCACATTTCTCCTGATCAACCTCTCAAATGCTGGGATTTATGTATGTGTTCTTATGTATATATATGTGTGTGTATATATGTATATGTATATATATATATTTCTATATATATATATATATATATATATATATTTGACCTTGAAGAAGAAACTTTCCAAATAGTATGAAAAATGTATCCCTTCTGAGCCGGGCGCCAGTGGCTCATGCCTGTACTCCTAGCTATGCAGGAGGCTGAGATCTGAGTTTGAAGACAGCCCTGGAAGGAAAGTCTATACCTCCAATTCACCACCAGAAAATTGGAAGTGGCGCTGTGGGCCAACGTGGTAGAGGGAAAAAGCTCAGGGACAGCACCCAGGCCCTGAGTTCAAGCCCTGTGACTGACAAGAACAACAATAACAAAAATAAAAAATAAAAAGGATACCTCTGTATTGAATGAATGTAGCAATTTGATGATGTTATCTGTGTCCATGAAATGGGCCCATTTGTCACTAAAACCTGTGCTGGTTAGGATTTGTTGTATTTTATCTGCTATACTGAAATCTTCTGTTACTATAATATTATGGACCGAACAGTGAATTCTGTAGTTTTTTTTCCCCCTAATTGCTATTGTACTGCTCTTGATTTAAATGCAGTAGACAGTGTCTTGTTTTTCCTAACAAAGGTGGTCCTACTAGGCCAACCCATTCCTGAAAATTGGTGGGTAGTGGTGGATTCTTAGGTTCTATCCTTATAGCACCTGATTCCACCGTGGGTAGTGGTTTGAAGTTATTTTTCCCAATTTTCACTAAATAGTCTAACCAACTGTGTATTAATTGAGAGACTGCAGTATAACTTATCTCCAGGCTTAGCAGCCAGTCAGCAGCAAATTCTTTTTGAGATGTTAATTGCAGCACATCTGAAGAATGGTTGGTGCAGCGACAACTTGAAGAAAAAAGGAGAAGAAATCTGATCAGACAAATTTGCCACTCATGGACACATCAAAGCACACAAATCACAAATCAGATTGTAGCACATCACCCACTAGTACTTGAAATTTGCTAACCAGAGAAGTGGCCTAAATTCTTTAGTGAAGTTTAGCTACTAGCTTTGGGTCAAGTTCATAGGCAGCTACCTTTTTTGCCTTGTCTAATAACTTTACAGTCATGTTGCCAGTCCCAACTTCTAAGTACCACATCACTTGGTCTTAGAGTGGCCTTACTGATAATGCTGTTAGCAATCAGAGGATTTTTCAAAATGTTTTGTCCAATCCATGTGTTGAATATGAGTCCTCCGGCCAGTCTCAGCTCTCTGACTTCACCGTTTTCATTTCATTTCTTAGTAACTTGTCCCTTTTTATGGTTGACTGTTACTCATTGTATGAATTTATCTGTTGCTTATCCATTCGCCTTGTGATGAACATTTGGTTTATTTGGAGTTTTGATCGTAATCAATAAAGTTGCTATTGACATTTGTCTTTGTGTTGCTGTGGACTTTTGACTTTATGCAAATATATGTATGAATATGCATTTTTATTTTCCTTAGCTAAGGAATGTTAGATTGTCTGGGTCACTTGATATCTGCAGAATGTAACTTAGAGACTGCCAAATTGTTTTCCAAAGTGATTTTAGCATTGTATTCTTCCTCCATCAGTATGATGATTTCCAGCTATATTTTCACAAACACTGTATATGATCACTTCTTTTAATTTTAGCCATTCTAGTGAGTATATACTAGGAACCCATTGTAGTTTTAATTTATTTATTCTGATAATGATGTTAAGCCTTATTTTAATGTGCTTTTTATGTGTGGTATTTTTCTTTTTTTTTTTTTTTTTGCCAGTCCTGGCTCTTGAACTTGGGCCCTAGTCATTGTCCCTGAGCTCCTTTGCTCAAGGCTTGCCCTCTACTACTTGAGTCACAGCACCATTTTCAGCTTTTTTTTTTTTTTGTCGGTCGTGGGGCTTGAACTCTGGGCCTGGGTGCTGTCCCTCAGCTCTTCAGCTCAAGGCGAGTGCTCTACCCCTTGAGCTACAGTGCCACTTCTGGTTTTCTGGTGGTTTGGAGATAGGAGTCTCACGGTCTCTCCTGTCTGGGCTGGCTTTGAACCGCGATCCTCAGATCTCAGCCTCCTGAGTAGCTAGGATTACAGGTGTGAGCCACCAGCGCCCGGCTCACTTTCAGCTTTTTCTGTTTATGTGGTACTGAGGAACTGAACCAAGGGTATCATGTATGCTAGGCAAGCACTCTTATCACTAAGCCACATTCCCAGCCTCTTCATGTTTTTTTTTTTTTTTTTTTTAATTTTTTTTTTTTTTTTGTCTTCTTTTTGGTCTGGGGATTGAACCCAGGACGTTGTACCTGTTAGGCAAGTGCTTTGCCACTGAGCTACATCCAAGCCCTTTCATGTGCCTTTTAATCTAATGTATCTTCTTTTGTAAAGTGTCTGCTAACATTTCATCTCTCTCTCTTTTTTTTTTTTGTGTGTGTGTGCCAGTATTGGGGCTTGAACTCAGGGCCTGTGCATTGTCCCTGAAATTCTTTTGCTGAAGGCTGGCACTCCATTGAGCCACAGCATCACTTCAGGCTTTTTCTGCTTATGTGGTACTGAGGAACTGAACCCGGGGCTTCATGCTTGCTAGGCAAGCACTATTCCCAGGCCTCTCATCTTGTTTTAAGCTGGGCACTAGTGGTTCATACCTGTTATTCGAGCTATTTAGGAGGCTGAAATCTGAGGACTATAGTTTGAAGCTAGCCCAGGCAAGAAAGTCCATAAGACTCTTACCTCCAATTAAAAAAAGAAAAAAGAAGAGCTATGATTCAAGTGGTAGAGTAATATCCTTGAGCAAAAAAACTTAGGGACAGCACCTAAGCCCTGAGTTCAAGATCCAGAATTGGCACACAGACACACACACAGTTTCATTCAGCTATTAAAAAATTAAAGTGTCAGTGCCAGGGTTCTTGACCCACATCTATAATCCTAGCACTCAGGAGATTGAGGCAGGAGGATTGGAGGTTTGTGGCCAGCCAGTCTGGGATACATAGTGATACCCTATCTCAAAAAAAAGAAAGTACAAGCTGGACATGGTGTCAGCTCTCTAGAGGTGGAGACTGGAAAGTATTGAGTGTGAGGCCAGCTAGGTATGTAGCAAAGCCTTGTAACACTCCTATTACTCCCCTGCCCAAAAGGGTATTTCTCTCAGTGAAATGTAAGAATCCTTTAAATACTCCAGGTATATGCCTTTGGCCATGTATGTGTATTGAGATTATTTTCTATGGCTAATGTTTTTTATTAGTTGCACCTTTCTGAGAACAAATATTTACCATTTTGAACTAATCTAAATTATAATTTTCTTTTTATTTTATACTTTTTGAATTGTATTGGAGATGTTTTTCTCCATACTAAGATGACAAAACTTTTTCTCCTCTCTTCCAGAAATTTTGTAGTTCTAGCTAAGTTCATTTCTATATTTGATTTTGATCACCCTCTATCAACATGACAGTGTACATACAGAGTATTTTGTAAAAGGTAGCATTAAAAGGAAATAATCTTAGGGGCTGGGAATGTGGCTTAGTGGTAGAGTGCTTGCCTAGCATACATGAAGCTCTTGGTTTCATTCCTCAGTACCACATAAATAGAAAAAGCCAGCAGTGGTGCTATGGTTCAAGTGGTTGGTAGAAAACTAGAAGCTCAGGGACAGTGCCTAAGCCCCGAGTTCAAGCCCCAGGACTGTCAAAAAAGAGAAAAAAAATCTTAAATATCATTATATCCATCAATTTAACACAGATAATAGGAAAAACTTTAGAGAACTGCAAGGGAGTCATTTAACCAGACAGGAATGTTGTCATGTTAATTATGTTCACCTGATTATTATTATTTTCAAAGTAGTTAAAATAATCTTGAATTGGTCCTGGAAGAGAATTTAGGAAAAATAAATTTCCTATTCTGAACAGGTTTTTTTTTTTTTTTTTTGTCGGTTGTGGGACTTGAACTCTGGGCCTGGGCACTGTCCTAAGCTCTTCAGTGTAAGGCAAGCACTTTACCACTTGAGCCACTGTGCTCGTTTTCTGGTGGTTACGGATTTTTCCTGCCCAGGCTGGCTTTGAACTGTGATCCTTAGATCTTAGCCTCCTGAGTAGCTAGGATTACAGACAGGAGCCACCAGTGCCCGGCCTAAACAGGTTTCTTCTAAAAAGTTTATTTTGAGAGATTATAAGCTAATGTTAAGGTATTCTTACGTTGGTTTTTAGACTTGAAAATAATTCAGTGTTTCTGTGCTATGCAATTATTGCCTCTAGCCAGTTACTTTTGCTAATTACCTTCAACTTCAACTAGCAGGCAATCCCTAGATGAGTTTGTATTTGTTTTGCTCTAGTTTCTTGATTTTTTTTGACTTTCTTTTACATGTGTGCCATTGATCTTTATCCAGTATGTTATTTGATAAATTGGAAAACTCAGTTTGTGGATTAGAGATATATGTGTGTGTGTGCTTTGCAATGTTTGATGAAAATACCTCCTTCGTTAAAATTTTTGGGTTTTTAATGAGAAAAGTAAGACAGAGTTTTAAACCAGTAAATGAATATAGTATATTTGAGCTTTTGTCTAAAACATTCTATGTAACTTAAATAGACAAATTATTAAGTTATAAGCTTTTTAATTGTACAAACAGAATGTAAAAACTGAAACATTTTAATGACAGGTTGGAACTTTAAGACATATTATGTCCTTCAAAGTGATGTATTAAAATTAATCAAATGCTTTATTTTCTAGGTGTTCATTGTACCCATGGTTTCAATCGTACTGGTTTCCTCATATGTGCCTTTCTGGTGGAGAAAATGGATTGGAGGTATTTATATCTTATGTTGGAAGAAAATGTATTTAATGATTTATAAAATATTGTATTGACGTTTCAGTTGTAGCATTTTATATTGTCATGTGTTTTCAATTCATTATTAGGATAGTTTGAAATGATTTTCTTTTCTTCTTTTTTTTTTTTTGTGTATGTGTGTCAGTCCTGGGGCTTGAACTGAACTTCTTTTGCTCAAGGGTAGCACTCTACTACTTGTGCCACGGTGCCACTTCTGGCTGTTTCTGTTTCTGTGGTACTAAGAAATTGAACTCAGGGCTTCTTGCATGGTAGGCAGGCATTCCCACTAAGCCATATTCCCAGCTCCGTGATTTTCATTTTTGATATATCAATCTTTAGAATTTTGTCACTTCATTGTTTTGTGCTGAATAGCACCGTAGTTAAGGGCTTATAAATTTATAAAAATACTTTTTTTATTACTTTTTTTTTTGTCTGTTATGGGGCCTGAACTCTGCTGTCCCTCAGCTCTTCAGCTCAAAGCCTAGTGCTCTACCACTTGAGCCACAGCGCCACTTCTGGCTTTTTCTGTGATTGTGGTGCTGAGGAATCGAACCCAGGGCCTCATGCATGCAAGGCAAGCACTCTACCACTGAGCCACCTTCCTAGCCCAAAAATAGTTTTTAAAATATAATTTTATTGTTATTAGGTGTTATACAGAGGGTTTACCATTTCATAAGTCAGGCAATGAGCTCATCTTTTTACTTGGTTCTGGGACTTGAACTCAGGGCTTGGGTACTGTCCCTTAGCCTTTTTGTGATCAAAGCTAGTGCTCTACTAATTGAGCCACAACTCAACTTCTGGTTTTTGAGTGGTTAATTGGAGATCAGAGTCTCATGAGGATTTTTCTGCCCAGGCCGGCTAAGAACCGCGATTCTCAGATCTCAGCCTCTTGAGTAGCTAGGATTACAGGTGTGAGCCACTGGCGCCTGGCCAGAAATACCCTTTGGACAGTATCACCCCTTCCTTTGTTTTCCTCCTGTTTCCCCCTCCCATCCCTGGGGTATTTATGAATTTTTCCTATATATTTTTTTCTCATAGAATTATCAGAGGCAGATTCTTCTGGCATTTTGTTTGTATTCTCTTTTGGAAATCACTGTTATTTCCCTTTTAGATAGTACCTTCCATATAAATACTAGGAAGAGCTTACAGTGTTATGTGAAGGAAATACGTTTGGAACAGGGTATTTAAAATAATCAACATCTTTATGGACATAATGTTATTTATGAAATATATTTTTAGATTTTGATAGATCAGAGTCTTACATGAATGGGATTTTTTTAGTATAATTTTTTTCATTAATTGATCAAAAGTCATTATGTTCATGAAGCTTCTTACACTATTCATCCTTTTCTGAACATAATCTGTCAAAAATACATATCAGATTGTACATTTTCCTTTTTATTCATCCCCAGTAGTTCTTTACGTCATGGACTTTCCAGCTCTAGCTATTCAGAAGCTCTACACAGTAACTCTAGACTCCTGTGTTATACTCAGCAGTGCTTACCTCTCTTTTGTGACTTGTACTCTTAGGTCCTGGATCCTTTGGATGTTTCTGAAAACCAATATGCCTTTATTTTTTGTTCACATGTAGTATTCACTTTTTGTTTACTGCTGTTTTAAAGCCTCAACCTTTAACCTTAGAGGTCAGTCCCTCCTCTCCCCCAGTCGTGGGGTCTGAACTCTGGGCCTGGACGCTGTCCCTCAGTTTTTCAGCTCAACTAGTGCTCTACCACCTGAACCATAGAGCCACTTCCGTTTTTTTCTGCTTATGTGGTGCTGAGGAATTGAACCCAGGGGCTCTGCATGCAAGGCAAGCACTCTACCACTGAGCCACCTTCCCAGCTCCCTACCTTAGAGGTTTTATTTACATTCTTCAGCAGCCCTATTCACACCTCTAAGATAAACTCATAGAAATGTAGGGTTGAGGAATTATTAGTGTCTCTAATATTGAAACTGTCTCAAATTCAGTTTGTCTCTTAATTGAATGCCTTGAGATTGAAATCTATGATATGTCCATTTTATATACCTGTTTTATTTTTTATGGTGTCCTGAATATTAATAAATTTGATAAGTTTGCATAAGTGGAGAACAGTGAATATTTGCATGGTGTTTATTTTTTATAGTATTGAAGCAGCAGTTGCTACTTTTGCCCAAGCCAGACCTCCAGGGATCTATAAGGGTGATTACTTAAAGGAATTATTTCGTCGCTATGGTGATATAGAGGAAGCACCACCACCACCTCTATTGCCAGATTGGTGTTTTGAAGACGATGAAGAAGAAGATGAAGATGAAGATGGAAAAAAAGAATCAGAACCTGGGTCAAGTGCTTCTTTTGGCAAAAGGAGAAAAGAAAGGTTAAAACTGGTAATGTTAAAATATAACGTAATATTTCTTACCTTCTGTAAACGTACTGGAATTTGGGAGAGTAGGGTGGGATGTTGACAGTGTTTTTTTAGATAGGTTTATAAAATTGTTTCATTTTAGTTTCTTCTTTTCCTCTCCCTCCTCACTCCCCTAGACAAGTTTTTTTTAATTGAGCTCAGGCTGATCTAGAACTTGAAATTCTTCTGCCTCAGCCTCTTAAGTGCTGGGATTACAGGTATGTACCACCTACCTGCTCATTGTGGCTGTTTTTAAAAGGTCTTCTATTCCTCCCTCCCCCCAATAAAGTTTTGCTATGTAGTGTATGTTGACGTGGAATGTTTCAGTCCCTCTGCTTTAATCTGAGTGCTGGGAATATACCAGTATGCCTAGCTATTTCTAAAGCTTCTTGATAGCCAAGAAGTTGGTGTTTTTTTTTTTTTTCCCCTTGTTGGTTGTGGGGCTTGAACTTGAGACCTGGATACTGTCCCTGAGCTCTTTTGCTCAAGGCTAGCGCTCTACCACTTTGAGCTACAGGGCCATTTCTAGTTTTCTGGTGGCTAATTGAAGATAAGAATCTCACAGACTTTTCTGCTTGGGCTGGCTTTGAAATGTAGTCCTAAGATCTGAGCCTCCTGAGTAGCTAGGGTTATAGGCATGAGCCACTGGCACCTGTCAGAAGCTGTCTTTTTTAAGAGAAAAATTCATCCTGTTTTATTTCTTAGGCAAACTAAACAACTCTTAGATAATATATTGAGAATACTTCTTTACAAAGAATACTGCTTTTTACAAAGCAGTATTGTGAGATTGTGAATGTAAATATTTGGGAAGAATATGTACTAATACTTTACAAAATTATCAAACAGTTAAAATTATTTTACATACGAATTCTTTCCTAGATGGTGTTTTCACACTTTCCATGATATTAAACTGAGAAAACTCTCATTTTTTTTTGTTAGACAAGCTTTATTATCTTCTAGAACTAACAGATCTACCAAAAATATTGAGAGTTATCTCTTTAGGAATAGGAGAATTTTTGAGAGAAATAATATTGGTTGTGCTTGTATAAACACCTGTTTGGTGTAGATTAAAGGGGAAGGTTGGAAAGTATGGAGGAAATTAATTATTAATAACATTTGGTAATAAGGTATGTGGCATATTATGATTGAACAATAAACAGTACAACTTATTAGTAATCGGTACAGCTAATTAGTAATGCCTTGTTTTATATAAATCATGTAGAAGTTATTTTGAGTGTTTCTCCAAGTTTCTTGTTTGTAAAACATTGTTTTAATTATATTTACACATTTTAAGCTTTAAGACTAAGGTCACTGAAAAATATGAATTGCTATGGATCATAGAAGTGATTTCTAAAATAACTTACTCCTTTTGAAAATAGTTTACATTGATTAAAATAATTACTTTTTATTAGTATATCCAGATGAAATGATGAAAGGGACTCAATATAATGGTTATACTTACAGCTTGGATATATTACCGCAGTATGCTAAAGATCATAAGAATAATGACCAGTGCAGTAGGAGGAGTATGAACTGTTTAGGCTTGCTTCCCTTCCTTCCACTCTTCTCCCCAGAAAATATGAATCGATGTTCAGATATGATCAGAAAGAATTTTTTTTTTTGTCTGTTGTGGGGCTCAGTCTCAGGGCTTGGGCACTGTCCAGGAGCTCTTTTGCTCAAGGCTAGTACTCTACTACTCTTTCTTTTTCTTTTGTAAGTTGTGGGGCTTGAACTCTGGGCCTGGGCTCTGTCCCTGAGCTCTTCACCTCAAGGCTAGTACTCTACCACTTGAGCCACAGCACCACTTCTGGTTTTCTGGTGATTAATTGGAGATAAAAGAGTCTCAGGGACTTTCCTGCCTGGGCTGTGTTTGAACTGTAATTCTCAGATTTCAGTCTCCTGAGTAGCTAGGATTACAGGTGTGAACCACCAGTGCCCAGCTGCACTCTGTTACTTTTACAATTCCACTTCTAGTTTTATGGTGGTTAATTGGAGATAAAGAATCTCATGGACTTTCCTACTGAGGCTGGCTTTGAACCTTGATCCTCAGATCTCAGCCTACTGAGTAGCTAGGATTAAAGGCATGAATCACTAGTTTCCTTGCAGAAAGAATCTTACTGAAAGAAAGAATTAACCCAGGGGATATTAGGGAGTGGAGTAGGGAAAGCAAAACTTCTGCAGATAGACTTGGTAGAAGTGTTATGGCAAAGGGACAAAACAGAGAGAAAATGAGACTCACATTACTGGATTACATACGGAGCAACTGTTTATCTGCATACTTATTAAATGTTTCTGTAGTAATATTGAGAAAGCATTTGGTTTAATGTTGAACATATTATCTATATATACCTATCCATGTATTAACTACATTGAAGAGGTTATGTTAATTTTTTTTTTGTCTGTCGTGGGGCTTGAACTTTGGGCCTGGGCACATGTTAATGTTTTTAAGACTTGCTAATTTTGCCTTTGCTTTTTGTTTTGCTCATTTCAGAAATCAACATTTATTTCTTAAATTTCCTTACAAAATATGCTCTTTAAAATGATACTGGATGTGTTCATGTAAAATTAAAAAGAAAACTACTTTAGAATAACTGTTGAATCCTGAACTTGCTGAGTGTTATTTGTAATTAAGTTATGCCTGTTAATTTTATGAGGATATTGAGTATTCTTAATAACTAAATGTTACAAATCTCATCTACCCAGTTGAACTTCCTTTTCATAAAACTTTATTTCTTCCATTAGTTATCATATTAATGGTAGAAATGTTTTTATTTCATTTTTAGTTTTTTTTTTTTGTTCTGTGTACCCAGATTGGTCTAAAACTGTGTGGATCAAGCTGTCCTTGAACTTGCACTTAGTATCCAGAATACTAGAATTGCAGGTCTGTGCCATTATTCCTGGCATTAGAAATTTCACTGACTGGTCAACAGAGATAATGATATAATAGGAGAGGTACTTTACTATTGATCCTTTGGCTCATAAACCATCATAATCATAGTTATTTAAGGCATGCAAAGTAGAATAAAGATTCTATAAATATACAGATTGTTTAAGAGTTAGAGGCAGAAGCTAGACTATGGTTTCCAGGAAAGAATTAGGACTCCTCTATACTTGCTGGGGATATATGGGTACTGAATATTAAATGCTTTTTCCCATCTAATCCTGAATAGTGGCTTGAGAGGCCAAGTCTTAGCTTGAAGGTTGATCTTTCAACTTGTAGACCTTATCTTTTATTCCATAATTATATTAACAGGTAGAATTGTTTTGATATTGATGTCAGCATTCTTATGGGTCAGAAAGTAATTTTGCATTAATCTAGATTAGTTTTTTATTCTTTAAAATATTCAATAGTGTTTTATTATTAGTACTGTATTGTCAGTAGTTGTACAAAGAGGTTTCAAACCCACAAGTCAACATTATGAGTACAGTTCGTCTTGGTCAGTGTTACCTTTTCCATCCATAATCTTAAGTTACATAGTTCAGTTTTTACACATTGCACATTGAGTATAATGACTGTATTTGCTCACTCTTCCTCCATTCATGTCCCTCCTCTTGTCTGGGCTCCTTGCCCCCCCTCAGCAGCCCCCCAAATCATCAAACATGTTTCAGTTTGATGGTATTTTATTGAACAGTTGCTTAGTTTTCAGAGGAGTTGCATTATTGGACTTCTCCTTGAGTATATCATCGTTTAGTCAATTTGTTTATATATATATATATATATATATGCATACATATATATGCATATAACCCTATATATGTTTTCATGTTTGCCTATGTTTCCATGTATGAGAGAAAACATGTCATTTGTCTCGCTGAGCCTGACTCTACTTAATAAAATTTTTTCTATGTCCATCCATTTCCCTGCAAGTGACATATTATCTATAGTACATCAATGACCATAATATATTATTATAGTACAGTAGGGAATTTGGTTGCGCAAGTGTCTTTACCCCATCCTGACTTACAGTGTTCTGGGCAGATGCCCAAGATTGGTATATCCATAGCATAGTTCGATGTTCAGTTTTTTGAGGAATCTCCAAACTACGTACCAAAGTGGTTACACTAGTTTACATTCCCACCAAGTGTAGTAGGGTTCCTTTTCCCCCCCACATTCCTGCCAGCATTAGTTTTTGTTGATACACTTGATGAAGGTCAATCTTTTTTCTTTTTCTTTTTTGTCACTCATGGAGTTTGAACTCAGAGGGCCTGCGCGCTGCCTTTGAGCTTTTTTTGCTCAAGGTTAGCATTGTACCTCTGAGCCATAGTTTCACTTTTGGTTTTTGAGTGGTTAATTGGAGATCTCCATAATAGTCTCATGGGAACTTTTCTGCTGGGGCTATCTTTGAACTATGATCCTTAAGATCTCAGCCTCTGAGTAGCTAGGATTACAGATATGAGTGAGCCATTAGTGCCCAGCTAGAGGCTCTTACTGGATTGAGATGGAATCTTAGTGTTGTTTTGATTTTCATTTCCTTTATGCCCAGAGATGTTGAGAATTTCCTCATGTGTTTATTGGCCATTCTTGTTGCTTCTTCTGAGAAGTATGTATTAGCCCATTTATCAATTGGGTTACTGATTTTTTTTGGGGGATAAGTTTCTTCAGTTCCTTATGTTATTCTGAATGTTAGCCCTTGCTGGATGTGTAGCTGGTAAAGATGTCCTATTTTGTAGGATGTCTTTTTAGCTTACTATGTCTCTTTTGCTGTGCAGAAATATTTTAGCGTGATGTAACCCTATTTGGCTATTCTCTCTCTAATTTGCTGAGCCCCTGGAGCTCAAGAAGTTCTTGCCTATGTCAGTGTTCTTTGATATATGAATACTATTTATGCTTCATTTCTGTAAATATTTCAAAAATAGGGTTGTTATGAAATAAGATGCCTCATGTACTTCTCAGTGACTTTTAAAAATTTAATTTAATTAATTTTGTTTCCAGTCCTGGGGTTTGAACTCAGGGCGTGGGCACTGTCCCTGAACTTTTTTTTTTTGTCGGTCATGGGGCTTGAACTCTGGGCCTGCGCACTGTCCCTGCGCTCTTCAGCTCAAGGTGAGCGCTCTACCTCTTGGGCCACAGTGCCACTTCCGGTTTTCTAGTAGTTTATTGGAGATCAGAGTTTCCCGGACTTTTCGGCCCAGGCTGGCTTTGAATCATGATCCTCAGATCTCAGCCTCCTGAGTAGTTAGGATTACAGGCATGAGCCACCGGTGCCCAGCTTGTCCCTGAACTTCTTTTGCTCAGGGCTAGCACTCTATCACTTGAGCCATAGCACCACTTCTGGCTTTTTAAAAAATGTGGTACTGAGGAATTGAACTTAGGGCTTCATACATGCTAGGCAAGCACTCTACCACTAAGCCACATTTTTAGTCCTGAACAAAATTTCCTAGATTAAAAAGTAATTGAAAGTCATGCTTAATTTCATGTTGATATATCCAGTGATAAACCTTGTCCACCCTTTCTATTGTTAGGCTTTCATTCTAGTTTAAAAAGATACAAATATTGGGTGCTTAATCCTCTTAAAATCCATATCTCACTAATGACACTCCCATCCTCCCATCTACCAATAGATATCTGAGTTCAAGTTTTGTTCTTTATCCCTTGAGTAAAAAATATTCATGCCTTGTTTATCTATGAAGTATATAACATAATATACTTTAATCTTTGTTGTGCAAAGATTAGAGAAAAATATAAAATGCCAAATTCTGTGGTAGGCTCAGTGACAGTATGCAAGTTACTGTTACAGTTGCAGTTAATGAGAATTGCTTGAGGAGTGCTTTGGCAGCATTATGGAAACACCATGCTATTTATGTACACTGAAAAATCATATTCTGATTATGGAAAACTAGCATAGAAGCCCAGGAGAGTTTATAAAGCCTTTTTGGATTATCTCTGCCCTCACCATTCTTCTGTCTCCTCTACCTCTTTCTCACTCTTGTCTCTTCCTTCTTTCTCCTTCCCCATTTCCTCTTCATTCCCTCACTTCTCCCCTTCTCCCTTTCTCTTTCCATCCCTTCCTTAAGTAGCCGGAAGGCCTTGTATTCTCCATCTTCTCCTTCAGCCTTTTGAGTGCTGGGAGTACAGCTATGTGCTACCATGTCTGTAGAGGAAAGCATTTCTGTTGTTCTGACTTGCTCAGGTTTGTGAAAATAACCAGTTTTTTTCTTTGTAAATGAATTGGCCTTTATTAAAATATTTTCTTTCTTTTTATTTTAAAGGGTGCTATTTTTTTGGAAGGTATAACTGTTAAAGGTGTAACTCAAGTAACCACTCAACCTAAGTTAGGAGAGGTACAGCAGAAGTGTCATCAGTTCTGCAGCTGGGAAGGGTAAGAAACACATGTTTTAGGGTTTAAATCAAACTCTGCTACACTTAAATTAATATTGACATTGACATACCTTCTTTGTATTTAAAGTTGGTATGTTTACTTACAGTGCTTAAAATGCATTATTTTTAAAGGTAATCATTTTAATAACAAGATTACTCACATATATTCCTAAAACAGTAATAAAAATTAATTTTGTAACAATGTAATACTTGTTTTATATCTTTGTGCATACTACTGTCTATTATGGTTTCAGCTGGTCTAATTCATTTATTTAGGAGAAGAGTTACAACTTGAATATGCCTCATGTTTCTATAATAATGGGAAACTTTAAATATATTCTGTTCCCTAGCATGTTTTAGAAATACTTAACCATGGACTGGGAAGGTGGCTCAGTGGTAGAGTGTTTGCCTTGAATGCATGAGGCCCTTGGTTCGATTCCTCAGCACCACATAAGCAGAAAAAGCTGGAAGTGGCCCTGTGGCTCAAGTGGTAGAGTGCTAGCCTTGAGCTGAAGAGCTGAGGGACAGTGCCCAGGCCCAGAGTTCAGGCCCCACGACCGGACCCCCCCCAAAAAAAAAAAAAAGAAAAAGAAATACTTAACCAGACAATTCATTGGAGAGAGTTAAAGAGAGAGTCGTTACTCTTGTCATTTACCTTTTATTCTTGGGCTATGGCAAAAAGTTGTAATGAATTGAATGTGAAAAACAAGATCATTATTGTTAAAAGTTCCTAATGCAAATTCCTAATGTAAAATACTTTTATTATTGGTGCATATCTGATAAATGAACTAACAAAAATTTTAGATAAAAGATGAAAATAATGAAGAAATAATAACTGCCTTAATGTTGTTTGAAACCTTTGCCATTATACCTTAATCTTGCTTTACATTTTTCTCATTTATACTTCTGGGCATTTTTGGAGTAGAATTTTATCAACTGTGCAGAGTAATATTGCATTGGGAATGTTACGATGGAAAAATGAGGTCAAAATTTTATAATATACATATATTTTTTGGCTTGAACTCAGGGCTTGGGTACTTTCTCTGAGTTTCTTTTGCTTAAGGCTAGCACTCTACTACTTAAGTCACAGCATTGCTTCTGGCTTTTTCTGTTTATGTGGTACTAAGGAATTGAACTCAGGGCTTCATGCTAGGCAAGCACTATAACCACTAAGCCACATTTCCAGTCCCAAAATTGTGTAATTTATTTAAATCAAAATTTAAACTTTTTCCTATAGTGAATGACTTGTAAATATACCTGTCATATACTATTTAGCTCATGCATACTAATATTTTTAGAATTAGTTCAATAATTTAGTATAGCAGTGGTAATTTATAACCATATAAACTTGGATTCTAAAATGTTAAGACAATGATAATCTTTCATTAGCATTTTTTGTAGTATCCTATTTGTAATAAATCTCATGATAGGGAGAGCGTGATAAATGTGAGTATCATCTTGAAATTGGTTTAATACATGCATTGCTTTGTATGGATTCTAGCCATGACAGTAATATTATGTCTTAAGGTCTGGATTCCCTGGAGCACAGCCTGTTTCCATGGACAAGCAAAACATTAAACTTTTAGAGCAGAAGCCCTATAAAGTGAGCTGGAAAGCAGATGGTACTCGGTAAGTTAAATTTATAAAATAATTATAAAGATAATCCTAATGCTCAAAGAACATTTCGTTGTTGTAAGTGAAAGTTTATTCTTGGGAGTGTGAATTTCTGACATAAACAGTAAAATAAATGTGATTCAATAAATTATATAGCTTTTGAGAGGCTGGGACAAGAGAGTAGATTAGAGCTATATGCCGTTTTCACTCCATGGATGGAAAGAATCCAGAGACACAAAGACCAGATTCAAGGAGAGAAAGAGTGGTAGAAAACAGAAAGTACAAAGAAGGTGGCGGGGTGAGGAGTAGGGCTGCAGAAAATTACAGAAAAGCAACTATAAGAGAATAAAAGTGGCAAGGAGTTTGGACCTGGTTCTTGGCACTCCATGCTGTGACTGATTTAGCTTTGTATCCTGGAGAAGTACAGGGAGTATCCATCTTGAAAAATTTCTCCATAAATCTAGAGACAAGAAACAATCATAGGGGGCTGGGAAGATGACTCAGTGGTAGAGTGCTTGCCTTGCATGCCTGAGGCCCTGGGTTTGATTCCTCAGCACCACATAAGCAAAAAAGAAAAAAGCCAGAGGTGGCGCTGTGGTAGAGTGCTAGCCTTGAGCTGAAGAGCTGAGGGACAGCGCCCAGGCGCAGAGTTCAGGCCCCACTACCGGACCAAAAAAAAAAAAAAGAAAGAAGCAATCATAGCTAATTAATAAGCAGAAATTCTCAATGAAATGTTTGCAAACCAAATTCAGCACATTAAAAAATAACAGTTACCATGACTGAGTTGTTTTAATTTCAGACATGCAAAGATGGTTCAACATACATGTATCAATAAATGTAGTACATCACATAAACAGGACCAAGGGCAAAAATCACAAAATCATCACTATTGAAGCAGAGAAAGCATCAGAAAGCATCCTTTTATGATAAAAGTTCTAAAGAAGCAAGGAATAGAAGGAACATTCCTGAACTTAAAGGCTGTACATAACAAACATATAGCCAGTATCATGTTAAATAGTTAAACTGAAATCATTTTCCCAAAGTCAGGTATAAGACATGAATGTCAATTTTTCCCACTCTTATGTAATATAATACATAGTTCATAGACAGAGAGTTAAGACAGGACAAGAAAATAAAAGGGAGGGCTGGGAAGGTGGCTCAGTGGTAGAGCGCTTGCCTTGCATGCCTGAGGCCCTGGGTTCGATTCCTCAGCACTACATAAGCAAAAAGAAAAAACCGGAAGTGGTGCTGTGGCTCAAGTGGTAGAGCGCTAGCCTTGAGCTGAAGAGCTGAGGGACAGTGCCCAGGCCTAGAGTTCAGGCCCCACGACCCGCCCCCCCCCCCCCAAAAAAAAAAGAAAATAAAAGGGATTCAAATAGAAAAGAAGTAAAATTTATCCTTATTTGTGGATGATATACTCCTATTCTTTTTTTTAATATATTTTTATTGTGAAAATACTGTACAGAGAGGTTACAATTACGTGGGTAAGATAATGAGCACATTTCTTACCAAGCATTGTAGCTTCCTGCTTTGTTTTCCCTTCCCGTCCCTTCATATCCCCCCCACTCCGTTCCCCCCCACCAAAGTTGTAAAGTTCGTTTTTCGACATAACAACTTGTACATCTCATTGTTGCAATGGGTCCTCCTGTATCGTTGTTTTAACAATTTGTTTTTTCCCTTCCCCTCCACATATACCAACATCATATATAGTGAAAGCAGAGAAGACTCCACCAAAAACTTCTAAAACTGATAAGGAAATATAGCAAGATAAAAAATCCTGCTCAGTAGCTTATCTATAAACCAATAGTGAATAGGTTGAGAAAGAAGTCAAGAAGATAATTCCATTCATAATAGCCTCAAAAAATTTAGAAGTAAAAGACCTCTACTGTGAAAATTGTAAGACCTTAAAGAAGACATGAGAAGATGGAAAGACCTTTCATGATCATATATTGGCAGAATTAGTATTGTGAAAATGATAATTCTTCAAAATGAAACTACAGAAGAAAGGGACATTGTCTAAAAAGAAATGTACCTATTGTTGCATCACTGATGTAACCCCTCTGTGTATCATCACTTTTATAATAGCAATAAAAAAAGGAAACTACAGATTCAATGCAATACCCATTAATATACCATTATCATTCTTCAGAGAATTAGAAATATTAGTCCAAAATTTATATGGAGGCATGAAAGATTTAAAATAGCAAAATCAATTTTAAGTAAAAAGAAAAAAAAACATAATGCTGGAGATAGCACAATACTAGACTTCAGGTTATACTATAGAGCCAAAAATAGCTTGGTAGTTGCACCGAAACAGACCTGAAGACCAATATAAATGTTACATATGCTGATATTCTATATATGCTGAACAGTATAGTATGCTGAGGAATAAAATTACCCAGCTACAGCCACATGTTATTTGATAAAACAGCAAAAAATGCATAGTGGAGAAAAGACAGCCTATTTAATCAATGGTAGTGGGAAAATTGGGTATTTACTTGAAGGAAACAAACTTGAGCATTATCTCTCCTTATACATACAAAAATCAACTCCAAAGGGATCAAACTGCTCAAAATAACACTTGAACCTTTAAATCTACTATAGGGAAACAGAAAATCCCAAAAATTATAATCACAGATAAATAGTTTATGATTAACATTGCAGATGCCTAGAGAATGGGAGCAAGAACTGACAAATGGGATTACATTAAATCAAAGAGTTTCTGCACATCAAAGGAAACAATTATCAGAGCCAAGAGATGAACCATAGAATGGGAGATTTTAGGTAAAATTAGTAAAAAATTAGTATGGAGAATATACAAAGATCTAAAAAAATTAAACAACATGAGACAAATAGTCCAGTTAACAAATGTGCAAGCAAGCTAATAGACAGTCCTCAAAATTAGAAATACAGATGGCCAATGGATAGAATGAAGAAACGTTCATCCTTAAAGGGATTGTACATCAGAACTACATTAAGGTTTTATCTCACCCTCGTCAGAGTGGCATACATTAAACAACAAGTGCTGGTGAGAAGGGAAAAGAAACCCTTATACGCTGTTGGTGAGATTGTAAACTAGTGTAGTCATAATGGAAATCATTGTGAAGATTCCTCAAAAATCTAAAAATAGATCTTTGCTATTAATCTACCATACCACTATAGGCATATATCCAAAGATAGTAAAAATCGATATAGAAGAAATATACTTGAATAACTATATTTATGGCAGCACACCTGTTATAGCAAATGATAGAATCAGCAAAGGTGCCCAACAACAGACAGATGCATTAGGATATATGGTGTGTATATATGCATATATATGCATACATATATATCCTTATGCACATACATATCCTTATACATACATACACTGTGGCATAATATATAGCTATAAAGCAAAATGAAATCATGTAATTTTCAGGCAAATAGAATTGGAGGATATCTTGAGTGAGGTAAGCCTCACGAATGTAGAAGCTACATCTGGAAGACATACATGGTCATAGATATGCACATGCGTACATATACCTATGTGCCAAGAAATATAGGGAGAGGGGAGGGAAGGAAAAAGGAGAGGAAAAGTAAAGAGGGGAGAGGAAAGATCTGATTCTGACTGGTAGACTGTTTAGAGGATAAGGAAAAGGGAAAGGGGGAAAGAAAGGATGGAAGATGAATAATTTTATAACACATTGCATTTGGGCTTGAATGTAGTTTAAAGAATCTCAATGAGAACTGTTAATCATTAGGGGAGTAGAGGTTTGGGGAAAGAGAAATAGGTTCTGTTATTGGGGCAGGGACCAAAAGGTTGTATTTGAACTAACTGGGAGACTGAATGAGGATCAATAAGCTATTTCAACCAAAATAGCTTCCTTGCATCTGTGAAAATAAAATAATGTGGCTGATTGATGTTGTATTGGGAAGAGAAGGATAAGGGAGAGAGGTGGAGGGGACCAAATTGATTGGGATTATATTAGCCTAAATGTGTGCAAATGTCACAGTGAAATCTCCATTGTGTACAAATAATGTAAAGAATTTTTTTTCATGGAGATTTCTGCCTGGACTGGCTTTGAACTGTACATCTGGATCTCCTAGAATACATGTGTAAGTTACTGGTGTATGACTTCAGCAACTATTGTGAGAGAGCTGTCTGATATTTTAGGCTTTATAGGTCATATGCTATTTTTCTTAAGTACTCAATTCTGTTGTCATAAGTACAAAGCAGCCATATCCTACTGTGTTTACACAAATGTATTCTAGTAAAATTTTACTTTACAAAGCAGAAGTCTGCATTTGTCCTTTAGGCCATAGTTTATTCAACCCATAATTGAATATATTCTCCTTAAAAGATAATCCTTAGGTCTCTCTCTCTTTTTGTTTTTTTTGGTCAGTTGTGGAGCTTGATCTCTGGGCCTGGGAGCTGTCCCTGAGCTCTTCAGCTCAAGGCTAGTGCTCTACCACTTGAGCCACAAAGCCACTTCTGGTTTTCTGGTGGTTAATTGGAGATAAGAGTCTCACGGACTTTCCTGTCCTGGCTGGCTTTGAACTGTGATCCTCAGATCTCAGCCTTCTGAGTAGCTAGAATTACAGATGTGAGCCACCAGCACCTGGTTGCAAATATTCTTTATAAGATAGTATGAAAGATGAGCTTAAGACAAAAGAAGAATATAAATTTAATAAACTTTTATTTGAGAGTATGCCTCAGTACATTTTAAGTATTGAAATTTTTTCTATCAGTTGTGTTTTCTTTCTCAGTTCATTAACTTAGAAAAGAGTTTCTTTTGGGTGCCAAGTTGGTGAGCTACCATTTGAGCCATGCCTTCCAGATCCAACTTTTTGCTAGTTATTTGGAGTGAAGTCTCATTGATCTGCCTGATAGTGCTGGCTTCCAACTGAGATTGTCAGATCTCAGCCTCTTGCATAACAGAATTATAGGTATGAACAACTGGTGCCTGGTTTGACAAGATTTATTAAATGTATACATTTAAGATACAAATCCTTTTTTTCAAGAAAGTAATTTT